TGCCGGTTATTGGTTTTGTTGACTGCTTCAGAGACGTGTCAGTTGGGTAAGCTGGCATAAGATGTGGAGAGCTATTCATGTTCATTTAGTTTTACTAGTTATGTTTGGAGGTCGCGTTATTCAGAGATTCGCCAGAGATGGAGCTGAGTTTTACGTTGCCAGTTTTGAGATATAATTATTGTCATGATATCAAGAAGTATAGAGTTGCTGAGGAAAATGGTTTATACCCTTGGAAGAGATGAGAGTTTTATTTCTTCCACACTACATGTTGAGGAGTTATTGGATACAAGAGCAAACCGATTTTTGAAGACCGTGCGATAATTAAGGATGATGGACAACAAGAGACGCATGAGCTGCTAGTTGTTACAGCATATAAGAATGTAATTGAGACCTATAGAAGGGTCACCATCGGATAGAAGACACGTTTATATGATTGAGTTGGAACTAGAGGTAACACCAGATTCACGAGTTCCATACCGACTAGTGAGAGCAGGGATGACCAAACTGATGTGACAGTAAAAGATTTAGCAGACAAGATTTTATTAGACCGGATTTTTCGCCATGGAGGCCACCAATGTTACTGCGACGAAGGAAGATGATATTCTCAGACTTTGTGTAGGCTACAGAGGTTTAAACAAGGTGACATCAAGAATAAGTATCCGCTTCCGTGTATTGATGAGTTGTTGGAGTAGCTGCAAGGAGTTTTATGGTTTTCGAAGGTTGATTTAGCATCGGATTATCACCAGATCCCCATAGCGGAGGAGGATGTGTGGAAGACAACCTCCCGTACACGTTATGGATAATATGAGTTGGAAATAATATTATTGGGTTGAAGAATTCACGGATAGCATTCATGAAACTTAAGGATAAATTCTTTTTCGAGCACTTGGATAAGTGTGTAGTTGTATTCAACAACAACATCCTGAAAATTGTTGGAGTAGGGGGAAGTAAGATGAGCATGGTCAGATTTGGTATTTAATACAAAGGTCAGATCATTGCATAAGCAGCAAACTAGATGAAGATTATGAATTTGAAGCATTTTGGAATGGAAGTTAGAGATTTTTGGAGTGATCACCAAAGTTGTCTTTTACTTTGACTATGGAATATCTACGTGGAGATGCATTAGCGTGGTAGGAGAAAGTACGAATAAGCCACTTGGGACCTATCAGACTTAAAGAAGAGGATTTGTTAGAGGTGTCATTCAGGAAGGGAATCTGATCAGAAAATTTTTGGATTGAAACCAAGTAGAGATTCAGAGCATGTGTTGTGTCGTCGCTTACTTCAGGTTAAGAGATTTAGTGGAGAAAGCTACCAAGCAGGGAAGCAGTAGTTATCGAGTTGTCTCCGTTGCAATCACCGTCATGAAGAGAGTTGTATTAAGATTTATGATGTGGTCAGTTGGAGCATATTTTGAGGCCAAACATTCAGTGCGCGATTTGGAGTTAGCAGCAGTTGTATCGGCTTAGAGTTTTGAGGATCATCATTGTATAGCAAGGAAGTTCAGATTCATGGGGATCATCAGAGTCTGAAATATATGTGCGCATTCATTAACTTGTACTTTAGGACGTGCATTTGGATTGAGTTGGTAGCAGTCTACAGTTTGAATGTGGAATGACATTTGGTGAGGCCAACCAAGTGGTAAATGTCTTAAGTGGGTACATGAGAGATATGTCAGGAATCACAGAGGATCGAGAGTTACTGGAACGCTTGTAAGCTTTAAGATCACGTGCATTTCAGTAGAGGAGGATACAATCGACATTGGAGCATTGGAGTATTGGAACATACAATTTACTAGGGATATTACACCAAACTCAAGATAGCAATATGGATTGGTTAGGTGGATCGATGTTGAGAGTGATGTACATCATACAGTTTTGAAGCAGGTTGTCCTTATAAGAGAATTGAGTTGGTGTGTTGGATGTTGAGCTGTTAAGAAAAAGGATCTTACAGCAAACATATCACTCGCGTTTCTATGTTCACCTGAAAAACACCCAGGATTACAAGATATGAAGTGTTATTATCATTGGACTAGTTTGGGAAAGATTGTAGCGTTGCGTCGCAGTGTCTGATGGTTATGTTTGAAGACCGGATACCTATCAGGTTATTGCTGAGTTTGCTTTTGCCAGAATGGAAACGAAACCTCGGGATTATGAATCATCACGTGTAGAGAGGATATGAGGAATTGTGGATGTATTTACTAAATCATTTATCTCCCGAATAATTTTGAAGGCAGTTGGAGCTGGCCAGTTGGCACATAGTACATCAGAGGGAAATCGTAATGATTGCATGGAGTTTTTGTGGGCGTTATATCGGGTCAGGATGTAAATTCAAGTTTATATATGGAGAATTTCTAAGAAGGCGCTTGGAGCAAAGACCTATTTGAGTATTACTTATCATCTAGAGACAGAGGATCAGTTAGAATGACCATTCAGATTTTTGAGAATTTATTCAGAGATTGTGTCTTACAGTGGAAAGGAAGTAATGGAAGTGTCTACCTCTAGCAGAGTTTGCTTACAGTGACAGTTATAATTAAAATATTGAGACAGCGCCATGATAAGTGTGAACAAAAGTAGGGGAGCATCAAGTTGTAGAACCATCAATGGTTCAAGAGATGATAGAGTAAGTGGACATGCTCAAAGTTGGCTTTGGGACGGCTATGATCGTCAGAGAGTATGAAGATAAGAATCGTAAAGAGTTGGAGTTTCAGGTAGGAGATCATGTACACCTGAAAATAAGAACATTTCAAGGAGGTATAAGACTTAGAAGCTAAAGAAAGGTAAACTGAAATATATTGGACCATATTTCATTGTGGAAATGATTGGAGTGATCGCTTACAAATTGGAGAAGTTGCTTTGGGATTGGATCTATCAATAGAGCTATCAGATTCTAGTTGTTGATTTGAGGAAGTCGTGAGAGAGTCAGAGCTTTGTTGCATCAGGCGCCAGATGACTTCAGAGGGAATGTATGCGTTTTGTCAACCAGTATAGAATTATAGATCGTCAAATGGAAGCATTTCAGGGAATGTCGCCAGTGTCTGTCAGAGTTGTTGAGAGAGATAGGGTTCACAAGAAGATCTCAGAGACCAAGCAGATTGATTACTCAGAGTTTTATTGCTATGATTTTGGACAGTCAACGAGCGACTCGAATTCGGGGACGAATTCCTTGTTAGTGGGGGAGAATTGTAACGACCCCAAATCTGATTACAAAACTTGTTAGCATGCTAAGACCTATTCCTCCCCTCTATAAATACCCACCACCCTAGCTCAGCACCTTGTTTTCTCCACCAGCAAGAAAAATAAAAGAGAGAGAGAGAGAGAGAGAGAGAGAGGAAGAGAGAAAGAGAGAAGAAGGGAAATCCTTGATTCTGAGCCACCTCCGGAGCTCGCCACGACCACCAGACACCGTGACTACGCCAAGCTCATCACCACCACTCGCCATAGCAAGAAACCGCCGGAATCTGCCGCACCTACAAGCATTGTTTTGTCCGTTTAGAAAACTGACCATAACTTCATAACCGTTGAGAATCTCGTGAATGCAAGGCCACCACCGTGTTCTACTCGTCGAGACGAAGCCGTAGACCCCAAAAACGCCTCAATCGGAGCTCGGAGCCGCCGTCACGCGCCCCCGCAAGATTCCCCTCCGCGCGCGCGTGTAAGCCACGCGCCGCCGCCACTCGCCGGAGCCGCCGCCGGACCGCCGTGCCGCCGCCGCCGGATCGCCGCCGGAGCCGCCGTCGGACCGCCGTCCCTCCGCCGCCGGACCGCCGCCGGACCGCCGCCGGACCACCGTCGCCGCCGGTGACCGCCGCCGGTGACTCGCCGGTGACTCGGTCAACTCGGCCGGGTCAACCCAGCGAGTCAACTCGGTTGACTCGGTAAACCGGTGGTTGGACCGGTTCAATTGAATTGCGATTTGGTTAAGGTAAACCGGTGGTTAAAATCAATTGAATTTTGGTTAGGNCCGCCGCCGGACCGCCGCCGGACCACCGTCGCCGCCGGTGACCGCCGCCGGTGACTCGCCGGTGACTCGGTCAACTCGGCCGGGTCAACCCAGCGAGTCAACTCGGTTGACTCGGTAAACCGGTGGTTGGACCGGTTCAATTGAATTGCGATTTGGTTAAGGTAAACCGGTGGTTAAAATCAATTGAATTTTGGTTAGGAGTAAACCGAATTGAAATTGATTTGGTTTTGGTTCAATTGAAATCGAATCCGGTTAAGGAAAACCGGCTGGTCCAATTCGATTTCAATCTGGTCAAGGGTTGACCGGCTTGGGTCAGAGTTGACCGGGTTGACCTTTGACCAGCGGGTTGACTTTTCCGTAATCACCCGTTTTCGACCGTTCGAAGGTCATTCTGACTCGGAATTTCGATCTGATTTCAGATTTGGGATCTATTTGAGCAGCTGGAGTTCATAGATACCACTTTTCCCCAGTTGCTAAGGTGAGGGTCTACTTCCGAACGATCCGTACGTGACTTAGAATTTTAAATAAATATAATTTATTTCTATTGTGTTCCGTCTGCGTGAAATCGAGTCTGTCATTGCTTGATTAGTTTAGGTTGCTTGCTTAAACCGGAACTAGGTGGTTAGAGGATTCAACATTGATTGCTTCACTTAATGTAATCATTAGTTAGAATTGTTTGGCCGGATACAGAGACGGACTTCTGTATGTCGGATTGTATGAGGGGCTACGGACAGTCAGTCGACCGGCTGGACCGTAGTCTGGTGTGGTCGATAAAGCGTCTGAGGGCGNATTTGGACGGACTTGGTGCTATTGGACTTTTTATTCGGATTTTTATTTGGGCTTGGGCGAGTGTAGTTGGGCTTTTATGTTTCGAGATATTATGGGTGGCCCGTCGTCCTAGAGAGAGGGAGACGGGTGGCACATTGTTATTTGATGACGCGTCGGGGATGACACGATGTACTCCACATAGGAGGTGACAGGTGTCACAACAACTTTCTTGGACATATGATCAAGGGTTTATATGAGTGTAGAGGAACTATATGGTTAGTCACTTAGTTAATTTGAAGCATTTAACATCTATTATCCGGCTATCAGTTAGGGTTCCGAGAGAACTTTTTAAACCATATATATGTGGACTAATCTTTCGGACCTCATGTGTTTAAGGTTTATTTAAACTTATTGGTTCAATGTTTTTTTTGTTGTTGTGCAAAGGCAGAAGAAGAAGAAACTAGAAAGAAGCTTGTGATAGCCAAACCTTTCGCGTTGGAAGATGATAAAGATTCTGAGCACACAGCTTCGAATGGCATCCGTCGGATTCTTAGCCTCTTCAAGAACGTGCGCCTTGGATCTGATCTCACTAATTTTCAGGTTCAGACAAAAAAAAACTTGTTGAGACCAGTCTTATTGATATATTACAGAACGACCATTGCTTTTTTTTAGAAGACTAAACTTATTTTAGTATTAAAATTTGATTAAATCTTCATAATTTGAAGTAGCTAGGCAGTAGGCATCATGCATGAAAGTGAACCCTTGAACCATATTTCTGCCCTCCTTATTTATGACATTATTTCCCCTTGTTCATCATTTTTAGATTTTTTACTTTTGAAATATTAATTTCTAAATTGTCGTTATATATAACAGTTGATCATTTATATTTCATACATTTCACGTCACTCTCCAATAATTCATTTAAAACTATGATTACGATTTGTTTTCCCTTAAAATTTACTAATCATATTCTATGAACGTACGTAAAGCTGCCACCTCAGCTGAACCAACCAAGATCACAACTTCAATGTTATGGCGAGATGATCTACAGTTTCTGCGGTCAAGATCTCATGGGAGAATGCAGCCGCCGCGATCTTCCCATCGAACGGCTCAAATCGGTGGTGATGTGGAACATCTCCACACTCCGTCCGATAGTCTTTGGCATGTCACCGTACAACCCCATTCTTGGAGAGACTCACCATGTCTCCCACGGTCACATCAACGTCCTCACCGAACAAGTATAACCTTATTTATTACAATTGTAACACGTATTGATACCATTCATGTCACGTCAAATATTTGTGGTTGTTAACTTGTTATGCTGTTTCAGGTATCGCATCATCCTCCAGTGTCGGCACTTCATGCGACTCACGAGAATGAAAATATTGACGTGACATGGTGTCAATATTTCACTCCTAAGTTCCGTGGTATGTTTCTTTCTTACATCCCAAGTATCTCTAAACAACACTTTTTTACATCACACGGTTATTTTATTACTCAAACTAAAATGATTTGGATAACTATATCAAAATAGAAAGTAAGTTTAGATCTAATTTGTGCGTCTCATGGTTAATAAGGTGCTTATGTGGACGTTGAGGTAAAGGGCAAAAGGATTATGAAGCTTCTGAATCGGAGAGAGACTTATGAGATGGACCAACCAAGACTTGTTGTGAGATTCTTACCTGCTCCAGGAGCTCACTGGACCGGGAAAATCAAGATAAAGTGTTCAGAGACCGACCTTGAAGCTGAACTACACTTGAACTCTGATTCATTCATCGAAAGATTCAAAGGCAATAATAACAGATCAATCAAAGGAAAGATCTCTCAGACTTCCTCTGGAGATAAGCTCTATGACATCTTTGGCCATTGGGACAGGTAAGTATATGAATCATATAGTCATTACAGCTCTTTATGAACATCATTAACATCCAATAATGTTTCAGAACGGTAATGGCCAAAAATCTTAAGACCGGTGAGGTCGAGGTTATATACAATGCTAAGGAGAATATCTCAGGACTCAAACCTCCAACTGTCAAGAATCTGAAAGAGGTAATGCAGAGCGAGTCTGTGATGGTGTGGAGTGAAGTAAGTGAAAAGATACTAAAGAAAGACTGGGAAAGAGCAAGAGAAGCTAAGAAAGTTGTAGAGGATAAACAGAGAGAGTCTCTGAAGCAAAGAGAGGCTTCTGGTGAGTCATGGGTTCCCAAGCATTTCTCAGTGGTTAGAAACGGTAAAGACTGGGACTGCTCACCACTACAGCCAACGGTTCCTCCAGCTCCACTCGTCATCACAGAGGCACAAGGAGAAATCATGAACTGACATCTTATGTTTACTACAATGTCATGTAACAAACTTATAGATAGAGACAGAACCAATGCGAAAACCGCAAAAATAAAACTCCTTTTTAACCAAAACTTTCTGCTCTAATTGCTTATAAGCGACTATCAATTTCACCAAAAAACATTCAACTTGCAAGAATCATCTCCTCTTTTTTTCAGAAAATTTACAGTAACTAAAAGATCCAAGACTATAATTAGGTCCAAGAATTGCGTGTTTCGGATCAAGAATCTTCTCTCATATAGCTGTGCTTGTGTAGTTAGGGAAGAGGTTGACCAAAGTGTCCAGAGCATCAGGATGAAACTTTCTTGCAAACAGATAACATGGCCGTGTAATCCCGTTCCATGTACAAGGCCAATGCAGCTCATCTCCATGCTTCAAAAACCACAAAGTAAAACTATAAAGAAAGAGAAATGGAGAGAATCAAAGGCTCATGAGAACCAAGCATACCTCTCCCACACTCGTGACGTGTGTACTCATTTCCTCGGACTGCGCAAGCATAAAAAAAAAAAAAAGAGAAAAGTAGAATAAGAAGCTACTTGTGATAATTTTGAAGAGATTGTGTTTGATAACATACGGTGACATTTTTCATGAACTCTAATGAAATCTCATGTGCTGCGTAAGTCTTAGGATGCCATCTTCGTTCAGACCAATCAACATACGTCACTGACCAGTTCGAGATCCCCGTGGGATCAAGCATCTGAAAGAAGATTTCAGAAAACAAACAAAAGTTTCAGCATCAAGAAGCCTTGAAAGATTGCAAAAGATGGAGTGTGTTAAAGAAGAATATCCTCACACTGAAGAATGTTGGCAAGTAATGTTCATCAGCAATACAGTTCTTGTCTGCCTCTATCCCTGGCTGAAACTCATAGAAACTTTCTTGTCAGAATCAGAGCTCAGAACGAAGAGAACTGAAAACGCAGGATTAACTTACACCACAATACTCGCGGAATTTTGTGTAGTAGAGACAATCAGCCATCACTATAATAGCGTGTTGTCGCTTCATTGTGAACCACTGATCAGAACAAAATTACACCAGAAAAAAAGTTAGCAAACAGTCATTTGTTTAAAAATCTTAGCTAGCAACAATACTAATTAAAACAGGCTCTTATAGCTATGTCTTTACCTGAGCACCCTTTCTAAAATCTTCCCTTGCAATTTCAGGTAACATGTGTTCCATATGTCTACCAGTACCATGCTGACCAGGATCCACAAAACTTGAGAAACATAATTTTTTTTGAAGCTTGTGTCAGTGAATATTAGTGGATAACTAAACTTTTTTTAGTTTTATTGAAGTGATTAAAGTACCTCTCAATGAAGCTGACGTTGGAGTGCAGCAAATATCTATAGGTGTAGTCAAAAGTATGCAACGGTATACAACTGCACAGAATAATAAAGTTGATGTGATTTTGATTTGTTAGGGAATAGGGACACGCTTAAGAAAGATTGAAATCACTACCTCTCTGAAAGAAGAACAAAGTGTTGATTGTCAGGATCTTCAAGAGCATTAACAAGTAACCTCTTCTCAGCATCAACCATTGAGATCCTTCCCCAAGTGACCTCATCACTATGAATCTCCCTATCAGAAAAGTGACGGCTGATATGAACTGGCCTTTCCTTTGACGGGTGGATGTAAATAGAGAACTTCCCTTCATGACCCTTCACAACACCAAATAATTTAGTGAAAAATGTAACTAAATTTGGATTTTTGGACAACATTGATGTGTGTGTTGTTGTTTGTTACCTTGAAGAACTCATCCCATAGCTTCTCAAACGGCAAAGTCCCAGGAGTCAAGAACAAGAAAGCGATTTTGGAGTTCTTGGTTATGAAAGGAGGCGTTCTAAGTATGTCTCTGACCACTGCTCTAGCTGCTACCTCCTCATCACTGTGTTTCCTTACATGAACAGGTAGCCAGGCATTGAGAGTCTCCGAGGAGATTTTGCTTTGTCGTGGGAACATGTGAGTACTAATGAGAAGCATACTGATCACTGAAACTGTTAAGACAAGCCATAAGGGCTTCTTGAGAGATGTGTGGTGACGTGGCCCTTGAAAAGTCTTCTGCGCCTCACCCATTTGAAACCCCACCTTCCTTGTAATGGAAAGGCATACAAAGATCGAATCTTTATTTCATCTTTTTATAAATTGGCATTGCCTGAAGGAGAAAGATTTGAGATTTTATACAAAAGGCTCTGATAAAGACCGGAAAACACGGAGAGATTTAAGTGATGTTTGAGACTAAATCTTTAAAAGAACTAAGACTACTTTAGAAAGAAGCAATCAATAAAAGAGATAAACTCTAAATGCATGTTGTTCCCGTGATACGACAAGTCCAGGACATTCCTGAGTCTTCTCTCTCACACATGTACAAAGTCCAAGTAAAAGTCTTTCCGACCAAACTAAACAACTAAGCTACAAATCTCAGATTCGCTTTGCCAGCAAGTACTTAGAAGCTTTACTAAACTCTAAAGAGAGTGATAGCAAGTAAAATGCAGTTACCTGAAATAGTTTTGAGCTGAATCAAAACAGTAGAATGCAGAAAGATAAAAGCTTTGTCCGAACCCAGATCTCAAAAGAGTAGACTTTGATCCTCTGCTTTAAGATCTAGGGCAAGAAAAGTAAAGAACCCAGAAGAAGAGTGATTCAACGAATGAGGTCGAAAGAGAGAGAAAAAAAAAAGAGAGCTTCTTTTTAAACTTTAAGTAAAGGTCTTTAATTTCTTATACTAATAACATAAAGTACAGACATGTTAACATTTGTTAATGTCAATACGATTCAGAACCTCTGTTTTTATATTTGATCACATCCTCTGATTCGTTTGAAATAAATAATTGTTTAGACGTTTCGGTGCAACCAAACAAGTGTTTCTCAAGTGGTCGAATTCGAAACAAACACAGAACATTATTTAGAGACCTGTTTTTTTTCTTTCTATTTTCTTCAATAATTTCTCTTAATAATTTGTTACTATTAAACTAGTCAATAAAAATTCTCCCACATTTTTATTTTGTGTTGTATTTGTTGAGTTGGCTTGACGACTCTGAAACCTTTTTAAATTTTATTTTATGGGCAATAGAAAAAAAATAAAATAATGCAAGTGGATATATAAATAACGAATTTAGCTCTGTCATTGCACTAAAACTCTTCAAGACAGTCGCGGATTTGTTCCTTCCACGACGGCGACATATCTGGTTATATGGACATAATAATATTTTCATTCAATTTTGTTTTTTTATGTCCATTGTCACTCCTAAATTATTCAAATGAAGTTGGTGTAGATGTGAAACTAAAAAAAGGCCATTATATTTGAAACAAATGGCACGTATAAAAACACAGGAGACTGACTTTTGAAGCAGTTACCAGAAAGGGGAATGCGTCTCACGTACTCAACGAAGCGTCTCGATCATCATGATCCCAAAAAGATGTATATAGCGTCGTCCTCCAGAGATTCGACTATGAAAAGGTGAGCGAATCTTGTCTTCCAGCTGGTCTTGTCATTGCCCTGCTTGGACAATTAATGGGTGATAGAAATGAAGGGAACACTTATTAGTCGGGCCATGTTTTGGATCTTAGGCCCATAATTCATATTGGGTCAGGAAGCAGACTTTTTTTATTTGGGTCAGGAAGCAGACTATGTTACTAAATTTAGTTTCCATCCTAACACTTTTAAGCAACAGAACTCGAACTCTCTTTTCGGAGTGTTCCAGTATAGTCAACGAAGTTGCTTTTTAGTGAGTAATATAATAACAAACAAAGAAGTGGACATTTTATCTTCCCAAAATGCAATAACCTATAACCATAAATGATCGTTTTGTGGTATCCATATAACCATTTATGGGAAACATGTAATGGAGGAGGATGGGTCGTATCCAATGAATACTAATCGAAATTGATTAAAACTTGTAATAATATCTGTGAGCATGACTGCTCTTGTTTCGGTTTTGCTTTCTCTTCTACAGCTTTGGGACTAGTTAAAGGTCAGATGAATTCCAGTTCAGTGTTAATTGTATCATTCCTTATATTTCATTTAGGATGTTATTTTCTTATGTTTGTCTTCCAATATAGACTTTTTTTAATGAGTTTGATGGTTGTGGTTTTGGAGCTCATCTTTTACCAACTTTGTGTAACTAAAAGCTTACAGTATCAATGAGAATGAAAAAAATCATTAGTTATATTAAGAATTGTAATTGAAGAAGAAAAAAAAGGCAATCTTTAGTTAGTTTTTTTCCTTCCTTTTTTATCCCAATTATATAGAGATTCTAGAACAACATTTTGTTTTATATAAATGAAAAATACAAGTGATAATAACATTTTGGTTACCCAATGAAGCTCAAAAAAGTCAAACTCCACAAAGTTCGCGGAAAAAGAAAGGATCCAACGAATGGTGGAATACGCATTTTATTTTATTTTGTTGCCATTATCGGAAAAAAATGAAAAACATTTAATAAAATCGCACTGACCAAGCCAAAGATGGTCACTTTTAAGTTTTAACTAAACAAACCCTTGTCTCTCTCTATCTATCTCTCTCTGACGACTTAAAGGAGCAAAGCAGAATCTAGGGTTTGTAAACAGTGAATCCTTTTGCTTCCCCCGCTTTCTGGTAAGTAAAGAATCATTCACTACTTATTCTCTGCATCCTCACTCTCCCCTGCTCGTTAACGAGAAAAAAAATTAGGGTTTTTGTTTGTTTTCATTTCCGTTCTACTTACTTACACTCTGTTTCTTCTCTTTCTCTCTCTCTGCTTCTCGTTTCCTCTGTCTTTTCTAATGCTAGTAGATGTGTTATAGTCTTTAAAGTTTTGCTCTTTCTTGTTCTCTGCTCTTTACTCTTCACTTCTTCAGCACTCTACTACTCGATTTCGAATAGTTTTAGTTGTTCTAATGATTATTCCTTGTTTATTCACTGGAAGGGTGTATAGAATTGAGTTAAAAAAAGAGATTTTGTTGTCATGTTAGATGAAATGGTGTGTTTGAATTGCATTTTTATTTTGTTTTATTTGGTGATTAGTTTTGTTTGAATCTTCCTTCTTGTTTTTAGTGTAGAGAAGCCAAGTAAAGCAACGACCTTTAAGCAAATGGCAACTGAGAATCCTATTAGGATGTCTGGTAACAATGAAAGATGGTCTAATTCTGTTCCTAACCGAAGTGGGAGTGCTCCTCCGAGCATGGAGGGATCCTTTCTAGCAGTTGATAATCTATTGTCACGACAGGGGAAACACTCGTTTGAGGAGACTCTTCCTTCTAAACACAACCTGAAACGCACACCTTCTCCACCTATCTATTACCCTGCTGAGTATCAGTTCGTAGACAATCGTGTAGGTAGTAGAATGTATAAAGTTAAGTCTCCCATTCATTTGTCCCAAGGTACACTTTCTACTCACAAGGAAGTGTCTGAGGATGAAAGCTCTCAGCAGCAGTCTATCAATAGTTTTTCTGATAGGACAAATGGGGTGGATGAAGATTTGAGACAGGTTCGGCTTCGCTTTATGAGTAATATAATGTCATTCTTTTACTCAAAGTTCATGTTAGTTTCAAGGCTTTTTGTTACAACTGAATCTCTTTTGTTTGCAGGGTGATAATTCTTCTGTTCCGACCCCTCAATATAGTCAGTCTAACTCTTTAGATGGTGCAATGAACATAGCGGATGAGAGTGGTAATGTGTCTGAGACATCAGATAGTGTTGTGGTTAAAGATAATGCTGCTGCAGTGACTAGAGATTCTGTTGTCACTGAGAAGACTCCTGATGAGTTGACTATCGTCTCTAAGATGAAGAATGCTAACATATCAGGACCTGCAACCTTCAGATACTCTCGAGAACCAAGGAATGCAAGGCCAGAAAGGCAGGTTTATCAACAACAAAATAATGTAACATGGGTTCAAGGTGGTGCCAAAATGGGTTATCATGGTGTAAACGATGCGGCTAACGGGACGGGACAGTTTCATTATGGTCAGCATGTGCTTCAGTCTTCAGGCTTTACGCGGCCTCAGCTTTACAATGCAACTCAAGCAGCTTATGTGACTTCACCAGCTCAAGTCTACAACATGCATTCTCCTACTGTTTACTCTCCTCAATATGGTTATGGACCTTACACTAACATGATCCCACACCCACAGTTTATACCTGGATACCCTTCACATGGTTCGGTTCCGCTTATTGTTGGTCCAGAGTTTGTTCCTCAGCTACCTGGACCAAGTGCGGGAGGTGAAATGCAGTATGCTCAGAAGTTCTATGCTCCACCAGTGCAACCTTCTTTTCCAGATCCTATGCATATGCAGTACAGTCAACAGCCATTCGGGCATAAGAATGGTCCTGAGTCTCAGAAAGATGAGCAGAAATTTGTCCGGGGAATAAGGGGCCCGAGTAACTTTAATATGGGTAGAATGGGTGGTCTTAATTATTATGGAGTTCAGCCAAGTATGGGCGTTATGGTGCAGTATCTGCCTACACAGCCCGGTGCTCCTCTTTCACCGGCCTCTGTTCCCTATGTAGAGGCATATCATGGGTGGCAGCCACAGGGCAATGGGCCTAGATTGTGCAATTTTCTTGAAGAGCTGAAATCTGGAAAAGGCAGGAGGTTTGGTTTATCAGACATTACAGGACACATTGTTGAATTCAGGCGAGTTTTGTCATTGGTTTCTTCTCAATAATATATGATTATAAACTTTGCTGAAACCTCTGTTTCCTTTTTCAGTGCTGATCAGCATGGGAGCAGGTTCATTCAGCAGAAGATTGAGAATTGTAGTCCAGAAGAAAAAGCAGCTGTCTTTAGGGAGATTCTCCCACATGCTTGCAAACTAATGACTGATGTGTTTGGCAATTATGTTATTCAGAAGGTCTGTTCCTACTTGTCCCTCTGTCTTATAGTGATGTGTTTGGCTATCCCTTTTCTTGATTTATTTGCAATATCTGTTTTCAGTTTTTCGAGTACGGAAACCCATCACAGAGAAAGGAACTCGCGGATCAACTCATGGGACAGATAGTGCCACTTAGTCTGCAGATGTACGGTTGTAGAGTGATACAAAAGGTACAGAAGTCACAACACTTCGTCTGGACTTTGATAATTTGGTTAAAATGGTTAACTCATGGTTGAAATGTTATTTTGATTTAGGCTCTTGATGTCATAGAACCTGATCAGAGAGTTCGTTTAGCACGTGAACTTGACGGACAGGTGATGAGATGTGTTCGAGACCAAAACGGAAACCATGTGATCCAGAAATGCATCGAGAACATCCCTGCAGACAGAGTTGGATTCATGTTAGCTGCATTCCGTGGTCAAGTTTCCTCCCTCTCTATGCATCCTTATGGCTGCCGTGTCATCCAGGTACTAAGAAATCAATTAAACGACTGTTCCCTTCTCCTTATCTAAGCATAATGCATCTTCACGTTTTTCTTTTCCCTTATGCATAGAGGCTTCTTGAGCGTTGCTCAAATGAGCATCACTATCAGTTCATCACCGAGGAGATACTAGAATCAGTATGCGTTCTTTCCAAGGACCAATATGGAAATTATGTGACACAGGTATGTCATACAATTAAAATCTTTTGTAATCAAATTTGGAAATAAACCAATGTTACTATTTGGCAGCATGTTTTGGAGAAAGGGACATCTGAAGAACGAGAGAGAATCGTGAGGAAACTATCAGGGCACATCGTGCAGCTTAGCCTACATAAATTTGCATCAAATGTTATAGAGAAGTGCCTGGAGCATGGTGGTAGAATTGAGCGGGACCTCATCATCAAAGAGATTGCTGGGCCTGACGAGAGTTATGATAGTCTATTGGTGAGCAAATGGACCAAACCTGATACATTTTTTTAATCTTGAACTGATAGGATATTAACTGTAAGCCAACCTTTAACAGATGATGATGAAGGACCAGTATGGAAACTATGTGGTGCAGAAGATATTCGAGACGTGTACTGTTGAGCAGCGTGTAGCATTGTCCAGCCGAGTCAGGATGCACGCTTCTGCGTTGAAGAAATACACATATGGGAAACATATTGTTACTCGTTTGGAACAGCCCTTTGGTGAAGGTACTACTAACTTCCTCAGTTTCAACTAAATCTGAGTGGGGGTGCAAAACCACAATCTTAGGAACAAAAAGAGAGTTTTGTCTTTGATATGGATTATATAGGGAGAAACAGGGTGAAGTACACAATCAGCTAACAGTCTATATGCCAAAACTGTTGGGTCACAATTGACATGTGCATAAGACTGAACAGGCTTGAAATGCTATCGCGTTGTTTTGCAGGAAGCCGAGAATCGAGGAGATGACTGGCTCTTCTGATTTCAAGACAGTGGCTGACTGAGATTTAGTTGATGATACAATTGGCTTTTCATGGAAGGTGGATTCACTGCATTGGAAATGCGGAGTTGATAATCATTGTGGAAGCAGTTGGTTGTGAAGAAATATATCAGTAGCCGTTGTGATGATTGTGTGGGCATGTTGGTAAATATTCGAAACTGTATCACTAGTACTGTAACTGGTTTGTGGATTCATCAAAAGACAATTTCAAAACTTTTCCAAACAGTATCATTATTGATTCCATGCTAGTCGTTATAGAGCCTCCTTCAGTGTAATTCCTCTTTTGCCAACAAAGAGGAATCAACGTATAATATTATAAAAGAAAGAACTTGTTCTCATTAATGGACTGGAGAGAGAGTCCCAAGATGCCTCAAACTTAGAAGCTGTGGCTAAAAACTTGAGAAACAGCAACCTGTATCAGCCGAGGAGTTAAAAACAGATGGGTTACATGTACTGCTTTCTCTGTCACGATGACAAGTTCTAATAACAAAATATGTTTTCTATAATATTTTCAAAGGTCAAGTATCTGTCGGCCAAAACTAATTCTATGTAGTATAACAAAATTTGACATGTATGTAGGTAATGTACATTTGCTAAATAGTATACATTTACTTGAGTTACAACAGAGCGAATATAACCCCAAAACGTAGCCTCCTAAGTCAATTCACACTGCTATCTAACTCTTGCAACTTTAGAGCCATTTCAGGGATATGTTTATCCCCTAGACTACTGGCAAGTGATCGTATAGCTCTAGAGATCAACTCTTTTTTCTGCTTCTCACCCGAAGTGCTCGTGCTGCTTGATGATCCAGACGCATTGTCTTCCTCCTTCAATGTGACACACAATCCTCTTAACCACTCCTCTAGAAAAGAGGCTTTCTGTAGGGAATCCAACAAAAAAATTGTGTCATTACATTAAAATCATGCAAATGAAACAACAATAGCTGCCAGTTTCTTACTTTAACAAGAAAATCTGTCAACGCTTCACAATGAGAGCTTGAAACTAGGCTAAGGAGATGCAGCATGGTCGAGGTTAACTGAAATCAAACAACCGCACTTAAGATTAAATCATTCATCAATAGCCAGCCTAAACTAGGCCAACGAGTTCGTGGTTTTACCTGATTCTCAAGCGATTTCTTATATTTGAAATTTGCTGGAGTTGTCTCTCTGTCGGAATTCAGATTCTGTAAAGTATGCCACACACCTTTGACAACATCAGGGAATGATCTCCCATAAGCTGCAATTACATTATGTGCGCGGGTATAATCAGCCAAACAGTACACAATTATTATAGCTACAGGGGATGGGAGAAAGAGGGTTAGTATCAAACTAACCAAGCGGGGTTACAGGAACAGCTAAAGCGGCTGCAGCTTGTATTCTTATCTTAAAGTTTGATGCATCACGAAGCAGTAACAGTAGGATACTAAAAACACTTGGAGCCCTTCAAAAGAAAAAGAGTTTGTAATGGTAAACAAGAGAAGTAGCTTAGGTAATAGAAAGCTTAAGGATGCATACCAATCCATATCTTGTAGTTTTACTGTCTCATTGGAGAATAAATTGCTTAACGCATGACATACATTCCATTGAACCTGTAAAATATTCCAAAGTCAAAGAATGTGTAAAGAAACCAAACCACGTTGATACAAACCAGATCAAATCGAATACATTTCTATATAAGATATCTTTCATCAAACTAGACAACTCAAACCAAAACTGATTAAAACCCAACTGCTCAATCCAGAAAATACCATCTCGTTTAGTTTAATCAAATTATTTGATTATACCTTAACATTACCAGTAGTAACACAGGAAAGAAATGCTTGCACGGTTCTCTCCAACCAGCTTGAATCTACCGCGCGTGATCTCAATTTTACATATTTAGAAATACTCCCCAGTGCTCGAACTGCATTGGCTTTGACCTAACAATAAAAATTCCGGAAATAATGATGGCAGACAAATAATACCAAAACCTACTGTACTTCGTAGAGAAGAGTTTTTGCAAGCCAATGTCGCCAGACAGAAACAAAACATTTGGATAAAAAGTTACGGAGAAAACAACTAATTTATTGTTTTAGAGTAATTTTGGGATTGGTGAGCATATCACTGTCGTAGTAATAAAACTAATTATCACGAAATGTTGCGAGCAATTTTCAGTACCTTGTCCCCATCCTCAGTAAGGCGCAAAGCACATTCTATTAGCGAGTCCACGACTTGTGAATTTGTATTTGATCCTACTAAGGAGAAGAAAGAAAAAGTAAAACATAAGTTATAACAGCGTCTAATTATAACTTCAGCATTAATACCTTCAAAGGACCTATCACTGACGTGGTAACGCAGAGCTTCACATACATTGGCCAAAGCCCAGGATGATGTTACACGCACCTGAATTGACAATCATAAAACCCATAGCAATAAGAAAGAGAATCTAAAATCCATAGCTCATGAGAGCAAATAAAAGGAAGTCGGTAATGCAATACCGAGTTCAAGGGATCGCGGGTATTTGCTTCAACAGCTAAGATAAACTTTTCATATATCCCAACACTGTATCAACAAAGTTCATTAAGTTTTCGACCATGGATACCAAGACAGTGATAACTGGGACGCTCAAGAGAATGTTTCAACCTACGGTGATAAAGGGTTAACCTACCTTAAAGAAGTTTCTGGAAAACATGAAACCACACCAATAGCTCGGCAAGCTGCTGATCTGACTGAAGGTGATTTGTCATGCAGTGCAGCGTTTATCTACAAAATAAAGGACGTCATACACATATTCTATAAGCTAAAGTCGATATAGTGAAATTCCAACCCGCAACAAGGCTCAAGTACTTACAATTGATGAAGTAACAAAGTCCCTTTCCTTCTGACTGAAAGAGACAAATACGGATGATGTAATACCAGCAAAGCAAGTAACCACAGTGCTCCTCACCTTCCAAACATACGAAAAAATTTAAGACCGCAGATATTATGCAAACTACAGCAACTGCATGTATGATTGAACTCTTTGTTGTCAAATTTTCAACCTACCCCCGCAGAGCCATTGTGTAACACCAGAACTATATGTTTACGAATAGCCTCAGACCATTGGTAACATCCTTCCTGAAAGGGAGGCTCTTGACCAAATTCGGGATTCTCAAATCCATATGATGGTGCAGATGAAATTCTTATTGACCTTATGCAGTCAGATGTAAATGGTGTATCCATTATTCTATCATAATGAAGATCCTCACTTCCCTTAAATCCAGATATTGCGCGAAGGCATCCATCCAAAACCTACATGCAATCACGAGTAAGTTCTTATTGCAAATAAGGTCCTAAGACATCCCTCAAAACTAATTATGACTATGAGTATGCTGCCAATCAGTAATGGAAGTCCCTGGTCCACAGAGTCCTACCTTAATAGCAGCTGTAAGGATTTTATCCCCAATATATCCAACGGGCTCTTTAACTGAAGCCTTCCACTTCGTTGCAGGGTCTTCAACAACAGCACTCTGCAAAAGTTTATACACGAGGACAGAGACCCGTTCCCAACACGCTGACACTATTGTTGGGTAATTGAGAGCCATAGCTCGGAGGACCTGCGCAGCAACCATATTATCTTTGAGAAGGAAATGTAGCAGCTCTCATAATCAAAATCTCTACAAAAGGGCTATAAATTTGACTAGAATAGCATAACGTTACATGACATGCAAAGAAAAAAAAAACAATCGGCATATTCCTCAACCATGCCCCAGTGTCACATAATTTTCTACCACCTCTCACCCTCATTACAGAAAAATGTTTCAGATAGGTTAAAGTGCTCTTAATGTACAACTGCAGTCCAGACAGCACCAATCCGCCTAAATTTGTTCTATGTGTCTATCCTTTCACTTTTATAAGAACTCCCTAAAAGGGTAGGAACCCAACCCGCATATTACCTGAAGAGCCTCAATGCATGTCGATGCGTCAGAATATTGCTCAGCAAAACGAAATAAAGTAAAGATAACTCCTGACTTCCATTCACATCCGTCGAATCCTGAAACGAGTTCAAGAAAGAATGTCAAATATCATAATGAGATTATAGTCACAATGGAACACGAGAAAGTTATCTGATAAGGTCAACCTGCTGATGTCTCATCTAAAAGCATATTTTGTACATTCATCTGAGGAGGAAAGGTAGAGAATGCAGCTGACAGGCAACCTATTGCGGCAACCTATACAAAACATATCATCATATAGGAGGTATGGCATTCACTAGTACAACTACTAAAGAGAAGAAGCTTGAGACCAGAGAAGAAAATTGTTCAGCATATCAAAAGCATCTTAAAAGCCTGAGTTCCTAGCTCGCATAACGTACCATCTAGGTCAAACGTGGGAAGGGATTGTATAGTTGTGGGTTAGGTATTGGGGCTTGAGAGCTAAGACTCATATATTAAAAGGATTCTCAAGGTGTAATTACTTCCTTGGATGATTGGATGAAGGAAGATTTTTAGTTTGTTTTTACCACAATAAAAATTCAATAGCGAAGGGAATAGGAAACCAGTGAAAACAAATGGACAAGAACATATTTTATTAACATGATATGAACTGGGAAAACATAAACAGAGACGAAATTGTCTCCCATAACGTCTCTAGACCCTTGTCCAATGCATGTGCTGTCCAAAGAAATCCCAACATCTTTCTACTCCTACTACTTCCCTATGTCTAAAAACTGTCGTATGTAACTCTAAACCCCATGATTTAGCCTGTGGTAACTAGGATAGTCCAAAGTACCCTAGATATTAAACATGAATTCATAATTCATCATAGACCAAGACAACAAACACAAAAAAAAATGAGGAGAAGAAGGCACAAACCAGGAGACCGGTTTTATCATTTTTGAAGGGAAACCCCTCATTAATCCTAGCGTGCAGAGACTTTATAACTTTTGGAAGCAATTCTCCTGGCATTCTCGAGTAACTGAAAATGTTAACAAAATACCAAAACATTGGAAAATGTTTAACAAAAAAAAAGCGTCAGCTAAACGGGAGCTGGGTCTACGCACATATCATGAAGCTCAAGCTCTTGCACTTAGTCAAAGATAAACCTTAACGAAGAGCCACTAATTTTTTTCTATGATATAACAAATAGTACTATCATAATGATACAATACTTCACAATAAAACAAAAATTATTAACCATGAAGAGCTGACAGGATATGACACAGAAGAAATTTACATACGGTGTGCTCGATATCAGCAGCATGAGAAACTTGAACAGCTGAATCAACAATCTACCATTATTGTCACGTTGAATCAAATGTAGAATGCCTACATCGATATCAAAGCGATAAAAAATCTTAGTCAAACAAGGAATAACTATAGCGAAGCCAGAAAGATAATTAATGTTGTTGAAGTACCTGTGTGGAGTTGCATTAATATTAGACCAAGGGAATTTGAGAGGGGCATGAACGATCCATACTTAGAGGATTCCTTATACTCTGCTACTTGAAGGAAAATAGATGAAGGCCCATCCATCATGGTGGAAAGAGCTGACGCAGATGCAATCCTTACCTAGACATTGCAAAATTTAACTAAAAAATATTTTGTCGGGACTCAGCAGTCAAAGACTGAGCCAAAAATATAGACCTCTAAATACCTTTGCTTAAGCAAATAAGATGTTGGGAATATAAGAAAAAAAAATTGAAACATGCGGCTTCGAGTACATAAAAAGGGGTAGGAAAAACACCTTTAAATGAGGATCAAAAAGCAAGCAGGACATCAGAGTAGCTTCAAACTTCCTGTTAATGATCTCAGAGAGTTAAGAAGACAAAAAGATATTAAGATACCTTTACAAGAGATGTTGGAGGTAAATTTTTTTACCTTGGCTTCAGCACATCATTGGTTGGCACGAGTGCCATCCACTGAGTGGTAAATGACTTTGAATCAGCTTGGCAAAGATCCTGAACAGAAGAATAAAAAACTGAATAAGTAACAGCCACTTAAAATTTTAGTGGAATACGAGAACCACATAAGAACAAAACATTGTTACTCGCCTGTATGCAAACAATCGCAGCTATCCTGATCTTAGAGCTTTGGGCGCCATAAGAATCCCTAATGGATCCGTCACTGTCACTAAAATCAGAATCTGATGATATAACATCAGAACTAGTAGAATCATGAGCAGACATGCGCCGCCAGTCACAAGACACTGGAAGCTTAGAGTTCAACTCATCCCTCTTGCGCAAATGGGGTGGCCTATAACGAGTATCTTTGGCATTCTTACTTTCTCCAGAAATCACTGGGGAAAGCTTGACATTCAACTGTTTATCCTTGTGAACAACATCAGGATGAGAGAACTGAGGTGGGCCATTAAGTCCGAAACAGAAAAACATTCTCAATGCCGCTATGAAACTGGAGACCTGCAACCTTACAATTTCTGGTTAAACAACGTGGAAAAGTCTGCATTTGATGTTAAACCATAAAATCACTTTCTATACGGATAAGAATCTAAAAGGCCACCAAGAACCAACTTACGTGATCAGAAACCGGACATTTGATATTTGTAAGAACCAGGTGCACACAGTCAAGAAGACAGGAATAGAATCTGAAGAAAATTGAGAAAAATTAGCTAATGGGACAAACAAGTCTACTAAGCCCAAAAAAGGAGGCATAGATGTAACGCCTATAGGACGTACCGCCACATAGATCGGTCTTCGACAAGCTGTCCTTTGGATGCTAAGACGTCCATTACTTTCCTTAGAACCTATATATCAAAATGTACCCACTTGAGTAACAAAGCATACATATTATAGAGATGAGAGGAGAAATGACTACCTCCAGGGTGGATTGGCAGACGTCATTAGGAAACAAAGACCCAGAGACAGAAAAGGCTCCACCAAACATGTCAAAGGCAAGAGCCATGGCATCCCATAAGCTCAGCAGTTTTTTCCCAGTATGGTCTTGATTTGAGAAACCATACGACGCAACTAAATCGTGGTGCAGGAACGGAATAATGCGCAGGAGAAACTTGACAAGGTGAATGTTCTCCGGATGGGAGCTATTTCTTTGGTACAGAGCGGCCAAACGTCTGGGAAAAGGAAAGTGAAAAGTCAGCAAGACAAAAAAAAAGCTATCAGAGAGTGAGAGAGACAATGACGTAACCTTAGAGTCTCGAAACATTGGATCACAGGTTCGATTCTGGAGGAATATGAAGTGGAAGAGGGTGAAGGCATTGGTTGGCGTAGAAGAAACTCCAAGATATTGGCAAAAGAGTGAAGAAGGAGCGGCCATGACGATGAATTTTGATGTAAAAGTACACGAGCGCAAACATCATGTATCTGGATTTTACAAAAGCAAATTAGAATTAAGTAGAGAGTAATAGAAGAGATGTGGAGGAGAGGGACGCACCAGTTTGCAAGTATGAAGAGAGACAGGGATCCAGTCAGGACCATCAGCTTTGGAAACCAAATCAAGAAGGAACAAGCAGTCAGAAGAGATCTCGTGCGGTGGGAGGAGAGAGACGGCAGAGAGAAGGGACTCGGAGTGAGAGAAGATTAGATCCTGAAGCAACAAGGGAACCGGTGGCTGTGGTGTGGTTGAGATTTCGTCTCTGAGAGAGAGAAACGCTGTCCGCCACTTTCCTGTGCTTGATGAAGCTGCCGCCGTGAACATATTCAGTTACCACCGAGAGATCTGAGAGAGAGATGTGATGCAGTGGAATCGAAACGGTTCTGAGGGAACGCAATGAAACTATATTTGGGCTTAATATTTAACTTGGGCTGCCTAATGAAGTTATTAGTCTTCTTTCGTCCTCCTTAGGAACTGCTGCAGCTTCACTGGCACCAACTCCACAAGTAGAAAATCCTCCTCCACCAATAGCACCACCTGCTTCAGAATATGAATTGATATTAAATTTGATATAAACAGAACAGAGTCACATAAAATTCTCAATGCAACGCAAAGATTCAAACACCAATTTGATCACACTATATTGAGTTGTACTAGTTTAAGATCCATGGAAACTACATCACCTTGTAGACATTAAAAACAATAATCGCAGGTCAAGAACTGAGCTCTCACAAAAAGCTGTAACCTTTATGCATCAGTGTTAAGATTTTTTGGCAATCACATTGGATGCAACTGATAAAGAGACTAATGATTCGTAATGGCAATTTTCGATCTACAATGACGATGGCCTAATTAAACGAGATTATGTGAGAATACTCCATGATGTTACCTACATAGACTTGTCTACGGACAGTGAAAGAGAGAAGCGTGATCCAGCAATCAACCGGGAAAGAGATGAATTTTATATACCTGGCACACGGCGGAGATAGGACAGACAATAGAAAGATGAAGACTCAACGCCGCCGGGAGAATCAGAGGGACCTGGACGAGCTTGCGCTGGAGCCTCCAAGGAAGGAGAAGCAGAGGAGGAGGCCTCAATGTCTGCCCCTCGTGTTGCTTCAAGGCCCATTATAGTCTAATGAGCCTTACATGGGCCACTTCCTAATTTACCTTGTTTTCTGAAAGAAAAAAAAATTAATATATTTTTAAGCTTTGTGTGCTTTCAATGTTCAATTCATTACATTTAGTGTTTTTTTTATCTTACATAAATGGATATCTTTAATCATCTTGTTTGTGAAACAAAGACAAATCAAGAACATGACATATGTTAGTGTTACTCGAGTGCTTTTAATGTGGGATCCGAATATATCATATTTTTAGTGATTTTGTGCTCATGTTGTTGATACATTACTATTTTAGTTCAACTGGACTTCGATGGATATTCACCTATGGAGCCTTCCAGGAACTCCACAGAGCTTTAAGATCAGTGTTTCCTCTCTTTGCATGCCTGAGGCACTGGTGATTCGAGAAGCCTTGTTTCATGCTTCCACACTAAACATCACTCACATCTGTCTCCGCACACATTTTTAAGAATTCGTTAGAGCTATCACATCGAAAAGACGATTGATGGATCTGTATGGCATCCTATGGGACATTAACTTTCTTTGGTTTTCTCCTCCTCATCTCCGTTCATCTTGTGTTTTTTTTTTTCATTTTTCATCCCAAAGACCTGTAATATAGGTCGACGGATCTTGTAGCAAAAATTTATCTTACCTTTTCTGTTTTTTACCCTAAGGCCAAAAACCTAATTTATTTAAATTAATATAATATCAAGTTTCTCATCGATAATTATTGCTTAAAGTAATTTAATATGTTAATTAGTGATTTTGCGTTCATGTTGTTAATATGTTACTATTTAAGTTCACCAATTATTGACCAAAAATAATTAATACGGTAATATATGTCATCGGAGGAGGAGATGACGGAAATAAATATATTTAAAAAAAGTGTACGTTACTCAAGAGATTAGAATGAAACGGGTAACCGGAGTAAACGGCGTGGATAAAGTCAAACAGGAGGAGGCAAACAAGACTATTCTTGTTATTAGTTGCATACCCTCCGCGCCAGTGCGGGCTGAGGATCATTGATGTTACCTTGTGTTTTTTTTTCGGTTGGTGGTTTAATGGGTTATTCTAATAATACCAAATAATGATGAAATGGAAAGAATGTAGCAAGAATGTAAAGTGAAAATATTATATATATATATATATATATATATATATATATATGTGTTAAATGTTATTTATATGTGAAGTAAAGTTTATAGGAATAACAAAATTATAATATAGTTTCTAGTGTATAATAATATGTGTCTATCTTGTTTTTCATTTTTTTATATTGGAAATAGTTTTTATATCAGAGGTCAAAACTTGATATAATTATTTAGTTATAGTATTTATATTTATACTAAACGATTTATCAATTTGAAAATAACTTTAATTTAAGCGAATATTTGTTGTTTGGGTTTCAATAGATAAGTTTGGATATATTTTTTTGTAAATTTGGATTTTGTTTATGAATAATATGACACTTTTATTTACGGCGTCATCGAGTGTGGAAATCCATTCGCCGGAGTCTGATAAAAATGAAATTATTGTAACTATTAAAAATTGAGAGAAATTACATAGTTATTTTATAAATAAAAATTACTTAAATTTTGTTGTTTTATTTTATTTCACATACATAATTTTTTGAAAATATATATTAGAAAATATGTTCTAACAGAAAATATATATTAGGACATGATAGTGCCACGTATGACTCATTTTGTTTTTTTTTGTCTTTTGGACTGTTCGTTTTTTGATCCTTTTTAATTGTTTTTGGGTTTGAATTTTTTCAAACTTTAGGATTGTTCTCACTATTTTTTGTTTTAAACATTAAGGTGGTGTTATTCATTGATGTATTTTAATAGAGTTTAAATCTAAACACAATCCACTGTTATTCAATTGATGATTCTGATTTCTATTTTAAAATCTAGTGTTATTCATTGAATGATTTAAATCCAGTATTTAAAATCTAGTGTTATTCATTAAATGATTTAAATCCAGTATTTAAAATCTAGTATTATTCAACTTTTAATGATTTTAAAATTCTTTGTATTTTGGATTGATTTCAAATCATCTCTTGTGAATTTTTATGAACAAATGAATGAATTCAAAATCTAAGGTCTACTGCAGAGATTTCAAAATTCATCAACTTAAACTTTCTTAAAATTTTAAAATTTGATAGATTATAAAACATTAATCATTGATTTGAAATCACTGATTGAATAACACCCCCTAAGTATGCTTAACAGCTACGCGGTTTGATCCCACACACTTGTGGACTTTATTAGATGTCTTATACCACTAGGCTAAAGTATATTCATTGTTCATATTCATTTTAAACAAATTCTAAATTTTTAAAATTTAAATATGCGGGACCCACAAATTTGCTGACTTGAACAGCTTTAGGAGCTTTGAAAGTGTATCATTATAATATAGATTCTCTCTTCAAAATCTTCTCTTTAATCAAAGTAGTGGGGAGGTGTACGTTAGAATATCTCTATCAAAGGTTTAGAAGGGGTTCAATGTTTTTCAGAAAAAAAAAATATTAAAATAAAAAATAGTGATGAATTCATCTTTTTTTTTGAAACACATACTTATATTAAAGATGAATTCATCTATTGCAGGTTCTCTGCAGTAAACCCGATTTATCATTGTAGCGCAGACTCCAAGACACGTGGTGGTCCGTATGTTTACTTTTTTAGAAAAAAATCAAAAAGAAAACAGAAACATTTTAATAATAAAAAATTAATTTAATGAAATGGGGGTTAATTGATGTGAATGCTTTTCTCTTTTACTCAGTTTTATTTTGACATTGACTTTTTCTTCCTTCTCATTGGCCTATTTAACAGAACAAAAACGATATAAACTCTCAACCAAGTATACTGCCCTCGTGAGTGAACAGTGTGAGGAAACGAACGATTCACGATGGGGAATAAGGCAAATCTGATCATCTTATGGGCTATGCTCGTTGCAGTAGTCGCTATGGCCGCGCACCCTCCTCCCTTTGAGCGGACTAAGGGCATCAATGGTCTCGAGAAGCTCATTGTCCGCGACCGTCGTGGTCGATCTTTCGAGGTACTCTTCTTGTCCTGATTATATATATACAGAACAACCCGATCAAGCCGTATTAATGTTTGCGAATATTCTTTTAATAAGTTCTCAGTTTTGACTTTTGATCTGATGATTGTTATGTCTTGCCGACAATTTGTTTCCATTTGTAAGGATTTTATTTATATATCATCCATGTTCTTCAATATTCGTTATGCAATTTTCAGGTTTATTTGTATGGAGGTCACGTGACTTCTTGGAAGAATGAGAAAGGAGAGGAGTTACTCTTTTTGAGTACCAAGGTACTTCAGATTCACCCTTGTATTTGTATATGAGCTCCAAAAATGAGTGAGATCTGAGATCATGTGTTTATGTGTATTGTGCAGGCTATATTCAAGCCTCCAACACCTATTCGTGGAGGGATTCCTTTATTGTTTCCCCAAGTATGTGCTTTAGAATGTTCCTTTTTGTTTTTACTTTTGTTATTTAATGCTGTAAAAGTGTTTGTTAATGAAATGTTTTTTTTTTTTTTCTGTAAATGCAGTATAGTAGTACTGGTCCACTTCCCTCACATGGATTTGTCAGACAAAGGTTCTGGGAAATTGATACTAAACCACCTCCTTTGCCATCACATCCTTCTAGTGCTCACGTTGACCTCATTCTAAAATCATCCGATGCTGATTTGAAGATCTGGCCTCATAAGTAAATATTCTTCAACCTCTCTCTCTCTCTCTTTCATATTCCTACACCATTTTTCAACTATATGCTATAATAGAAATGAAAATTATTCAAAATCCAAATATGAATATAGTTTTGAATTGAAAACCGGTAACGTATAAGCCTTTTTGGTTGTGACCACCTCTTCTATGTCTTTCAGATTTGTATATCGTCTGAGAGTAGCATTGGGGCATGGTGGAGACTTGACTTTGACATCTCGTGTTCAAAACGCTGATGTAAAGCAGTTTAGCTTCACAGCTGGTCTTCACCCCTATTTCTCTATTTCCGATATAAGGTAAGCTTATTGCAATTTTTTTTTTTAAAATATTGTTGTGTTGGTGTTAGTAATATAAAGTTAATAGATCTATTTGGTTCTTGTGTTCAGTCAAATCCAAGTGGAAGGATTGCAAAATTTGAATTATCTTGACCAACAAAAGAACAGAACACGTTTCACTGATAATGCCAAATTTATAACTTTTAATTCACAGGTAAGCTTATCACTTTTTTTTTCCACTGTTTAGTATCATAACTAAGTATAAAAACAACAGTGCTAACTCTTCAAAATAGCTTGACAGGCTTTACCTAAGGGCTCCAAACAAGCTCAGAATCGTGGACCGCAAGAAAAAGAAGACAATCATGGTACGCAAGGAAGGATACGCTGATGCAGGTATATACTTTATTTTATGAAACATATTGTTCTAGTAACGATGGATCATTTATAATGATAAAAACAATATGCAGTGGTATGGACTCCATGGGTTAAGAAAGTGAGCGATTTGGGAGTTGAAGATTACAAACGTTTTGTTGCTGTGGAACCCGTTGCGGTCGAGAAACCGATCATATTGAAACCTGGACAAGTGTGGAAAGGAGTACTCCAAGTATCTGTGGTTCCTGGTGCTTAAAAAACTTAGAAAATCCTCCTCCACCAACAGCACCACCTGCTCCAGAATATGAATTTTAATATAAACAGAACAGAGTCACAAAAATTCTCAATGCAACGCAAACACCAATGTGATCACACTATAATTGAGTTGTACTAGTTTAAGATCCATGGGAACTATATCACCTTTTAATTGAAAACAATAGTCGTAGGTCAAGAATTGAGCTATCACAAAGCTGTAACGTTTATGCATTCGTGTTAAATTTTTTTGGCAATCGCATTTGATGCAACTGGTAAGGAGACTATGATTCGTAATGGCAATTTTTCAATCTACAACGAGAGATGGTCTAGTTAAACGAGATCATGTGAGAATACACTCACCTAATCTACAGATAGTGTAAGAGAGAAGCGTGATCCAGAACGAAAAACTTATATACCTGGCACACGGCGGAGGTATGGCAGATAATAAAAAAAAAAAAAAAAAGAAGACTAAATGCCGCCGGGAGAATCAGAGGGACCTGGACGAGCTTGCGCTGGAGCTCCAAGGAAGGAGAAACAGAGGGGGCCTCAACGCCTCTCTCGTGTTGCTTCAAGGCCCATTATAGTCTATTGAGCCTTAAATGGGCCAGTTTGGAGAGTAGTGAACTTGTTGAATCTTCCTAATTACATTGTTTTCTGAAAAAAAGATAATATAATATTTTTAGCTTTGTGTGCTTTCAATGTTTTTTTTTTGGTTACTGTGTGCTTTCAATGTTCAATTGATTACATTTAGTCTTTTTACTCTTACCTACATGGATATCTTTAACAGAAATTGGTGGGATTGTCCCTAAATACACTTCATATTTGCAATCTACCATTCCAAAATAGAAACTATTTCGTCTGACCATTATACCCATATCTCATTCTCTCTCTCTTCTCTTCCCTATCTTCTAATCTCTTTATCTCTCATACATGACATATTTATGCTTTCATTTTTTCATCATAAATCTCTATTTTTTACTCTGGTTCTTTTGACACCCATATTGCTAATGTTATTAACTCACACTAATTCTTTTAGTTCTAATTTCAAATCTTGAAATATACATTCTTTTATTTGGATAATATGTAAGTTAGCAGCTATTTCATTATTTACCCATTATTATTATATTTTAATGAATTTGTAACTGATACATAGAGTGTTAGCTATTACAAATAGGATTACGGCTATTTGATAGATAATTGATTAGCGGTTAATATTTGTATTTTTATGATAATAGTATTGTTAACATGCTAACCTGTTTGTTAGCGATTTATTTAACACATTAATAAATAGACGTAACCTGATAACAAAATTTATAGCATGTTAAAATTTTGTCAATTTGCTAACAATTTTTATATCATGTTAAAATTGATAAATATCTCTTAGTGTTCAGTTAATATAATGTCTATCCGCTAAATCTAGAGTTACATGTTTTCGATAAAGTAAGAGGGCATTTTTGTCTGCACAGTGTCAAAAGGTTACTCCTTTCTGGATTATCCACAACCATGGACATTCGGCCAATTTGGATCTTCGTTAGATACATTACACCAATTGTCTCTATCTTTAATCATCTTGGTTGTGGAAACCAAATCATTTCTCAAAAGCCTGTAGTTAGCCTGTGAAACAAAGACAAATCAAGAACATGACATGTAGTGTTTCTCGAGTGGTTTTAATGTAGGACCCGAAGATATCAATTTTTAGTGATTTTGTGTTCATGTTGTTGATATTCAGTAATTATTAACAAAAAAAACGGTTCAATCATTATAGACAAAATTAAATTAATATATGGTATAGTGATTTTGTGTTCATGTTGTTGATACGTTACTATATTAAAGTTCGAACAATTATTGACCATAAATAATTAATACGGTAATAGATGTCACTGAGCCGGAGATAACGGAAATAAATATATTTAAAAAGTATACGTGACTCAATAGATTAGAATGAAATGGGTCACCGGAATAATCGGCATGGATAAAGTCAAACAAGAGGAGGCAAACAAGACTTTTTTTATTTTTGATCAAATGGAGGCAAACAAGATTACAAGACTATTCTTGTTTTTTCTTCCTTCAAAGTCTTCTCTTTAATCAAATTAGTGGAGTTGTACGTTATCTTTATTCGTTTTATTTTGACATTGACTTTTTTTGTTCTTTCCCATTGTCCTCTATTTAACAGAACAAAAACGATATAAACTCTCAACCAATTATATTGCCCTCGTGAGTGAACTGAGGAGACGAACGATTCACGATGGGGAATAAGGCAAATATTATCATCTTATGGGCTATGCTCGTTGCAGTAGTCGCTATGGCCACGCACCCTCCTCCTTTTGAGCGGACTAAGGGCATCAATGGTCTCGAGAAGCTCATTGTCCGCGACCGTCGCGGTCGATCTTTCGAGGTATTTTTCTTGTCTGATTATATATATATATATATATAGATCATGCCGTGTTAATGTTTGCGAATATCTTTTTTTTTTTTACCAAAAAAGAAAAATTGTCAGTTTTGACTTTTTATCTGATGATTGTTATGTCTTGCCGACAATTTGTTTCCATTTGTAAGGATTTTATTTATATATATAATTCACTTTTTTCAATATTCGTTATACAATTTTCAGGTTTATTTGTATGGAGGTCAAGTGACTTCTTGGAAGAATGAGAAAGGAGATGAATTACTCTTTATGAGTACCAAGGTACTTTAGATTTACCCTTGTATATGAGCTCCAAAATGAGTGAGATCTGATGATCATATGTTATGTATATTTTGTGCAGGCTATATTCGAGCCTCCAACACCTATTCGTGGAGGGATTCCTTTATTATTTCCGCAAGTATGTGCTTAACAATGTTCCTTTTTACTATTTTATGTTTATTGACTGTTCCTTTTTGTTTTTACTTTTGTTTGGTCAAAAAAAAAAAATGTTGTAAAAGTGTTTGTGAATGAAATGTTTTTTTTTTCTGTAAATGCAGTATAGTAATACTGGTCCACTTCCTTCACATGGATTTGTCAGACAAAGGTTCTGGGAAATTGATACTAACCCACCTCCTTTGCCATCACATCCTTATTCTAGTGCTCACGTTGACCTCATCCTAAAATCATCCGATGCTGATTTGAAGATCTGGCCTAATAAGTAAATATTCTTCAACCTCTCTCTCTCTCTCTCTTTCATATTCTTATACCATTTTTCAACTATATGTTATTAATATCCCACATTAGAAATGAAAATTATTCAAAATCCATATATGAATATAGTTTTGACCACCTCTTTTATGTCTTTCAGATTTGTATATCGTCTGAGAGTAGCATTGGGGCATGGTGGAGACTTGACTTTGACATCTCGTGTTAAAAACTCTGATGTAAAGCCGTTTAACTTCACAGCTGGTCTTCACCCCTATTTCTATGTTTCCGATATCAGGTAAGCTTATTGCAATTTTTAAAAAAATATATAGTTGCGTTGGTGTTAGTATATAAAGTTAATAGATCGATTTGGTTCTTGTGTTCAGTCAAATCCAAGTGGAAGGATTGCAAAATTTGGATTATCTTGACCAACAAAAGAACAGAACACGTTTCACTGACAATGCCAAATTTATAACTTTTAATTCACAGGTAAGCTTATGATCAATTGCTTATATCATAACTAGTATAAAAACAACAGTGCTAACTCTTCAAAATAGCTTGACAGGCTTTACCTAAGGACGCCAAGCAAGCTCAGAATCGTGGACCACAATAAAAAGAAGACAATCGTGGTACGCAAGGAAGGATACGCTGATGCAGGTATGTACTTTATTTTCTGAACATATGGTTCTAGTAACGATGGATCATTTATAATGATGATACAAAATATGCAGTGGTGTGGAATCCATGGGATAAGAAAGTGAGCGATTTGGGAGTTGAAGATTACAAACGTTTTGTTGCTGTGGAACCCGTTGCGGTCGAGAAACCGATCATATTGAAACCTGGACAAGTGTGGAAAGGAGTACTCCAAGTATCTGTGGTTCCTCGTACTTAAAAAACTTAAAAATGTCCTAAAAAGTATACTTTGTGTTACATATTCAGATGGTTAACACCGAGTCAGGATCCACACCGGACCTTACCAGTGTTTGTGTTTTGTAACTGTGTCAGGATCCACACCGGACCTTACCAGTGCTTGTGTTTTGTAACTTTAGTATTCTTGGATCATGTTACATACAATAATTGTTACGTTCAATAAGAATTTCAGTTTTATCTCTTTAGTGTACTTATCATATAGATTTTATCGTTGTTATTTAATACAAGATATTACAATTCAACTAAAATGTAAATTAAAAAAAAACTGAAAAAGAAAATGAAAAGATATGGAAGTAATGAAAAATGGAAAGAAAATGTTGAGAAGAAAGGTTGAAGGAATAATAAAAGTGTTGGATTTGAGATTTGTAACGTATAATCGATACGGTCATATTATAATCAGAGTTTTTTAATATAGCTTGAATATGTGTATGAATCGTAAGGCGACGAACAAGAGCAGATGTGGCGTTATCGCTGCTTTTAAGCAAGATGGGATAAAATAAAACTTTTCTTTACATGGTCACGTCAACATAATGAACTCCTTTCCTACATTTTTTTTAGCCAACATAAATAAAGTCAAATCCTAAATTAAATGATTGGAACTGTAAGATTTCTTTCTGTTTTTAGGCTTCGTACTTATCCACCTTCTATTTCTTTGGTGTATTTATGGAACGAAAAGGTAAGAGATTTTTTGAACAAGGTATCTTCTTCGTAAGCTACATTGAAGGAGAGGAAAAATAACGATGGGGAATAAAGGAAACCTCGGATATTTAATCTTCTTATGGGCTACTCTCGTTGCAGTAGTAGCCATTGCCACCGAGCAGCGTCGTTTTGAGCGGACTAAGGGCATCAATGGTCTTGAAAAGATCATCATCCGTGACGATCGTGGTAGATCTTTTGAGGTATTTGTTTTGGTTTTAGTGAGATAGATATTGCTTAATCGTAAGTTGAAAAATGAGAGAAAACATGCAGATTGAAACGTGAATAAAACTTGAGTTACAGAATTAGAGGAGATATGTAGATTGAAAAAATGAATGACATTATATGTATGATTGGATAAATTGTAGAACCTTATAAAATGGTACAAAGTTACGTATGTACTAGCACACATGTTTAAGAAGCAAATAATATTTTTTAAATAATGAATTTCAACTTATTATGACTACCAAAAAGAGAAGTTCAAAGATTATTCTAAGGGATATTCAAAACGTTCATGGGTTTTGATATTTTTGATTGTCACGTACAGAGGATTTTGGTTTGAAGTCATGTTTTCAATAGGATGCTACATAGACTCCAAGTTTTTTTTTTTTGAAAAATACATAGACTCCAAGTTCCGAATTGTTTGGTGCAGATTATCATTCATTTATTTGGTAAAATAATTTCAGGTATACTTGTATGGAGGTCAAGTAGCTTCTTGGAAGAATGAGAAAGCCGAGGAGTTACTTGTTATGAGTAGCAAGGTACTTCAGATTCAGTCATCAATCTTTACTTCATTATAGGCATGCAGATGAAAATGATAAATAGCCTATTCGTATGATCTTCAAAAAAATAGTATGAGCTCCAAAAATCAAAAGAAATATACAATCATGTGTTATGTATTGTGCAGGCTATATTCAAGCCTCCAACACCTATTCGTGGAGGAATTCCAATATTGTTTCCGCAAGTATGTGCTCTCGGATTATTGTCATTTTCTTAAAACACTTTTTCTTTGTAATTTATTTCTTCTGTTAATGAAATGTTTTTTTTTTCTGTAAGTGCAGTACAGTAACACTGGTCCACTTCCCTCACATGGATTTGTAAGACAAAGGTTCTGGGAAATCGACACTAATCCACCTCAGCTACCATCAAACTCTTATTATAAAGCTTTTGTTGACCTAATCCTAAGGCCATCCCAAGATGATTTCAAGATCTGGCCTCATAAGTTAGTTTCTTGAAACCTCTCTTTTACTTTCATGTTCTTAGTTCTTACAACATGTTTCATATATATAGACTAATGACATATGTATCCATTTCAGGTTTGAGTATAGACTAAGAGTACATTTGGGACCTGAAGGAGATTTGATATTGACATCTCGTGTCAAGAATACTGATGTAAAGCCGTTTAACTTCACAATGGCTCTTCACCCCTATTTCTCTGTTTCTGATATCAGGTAATTAAGCTCATCTCTAGGGAAGTCATCATCATCTTAGCAGATTTTCAAGCAGTTCTTGTTTTTTTTTGGTTCCGCTGATGTTAGTATTAAAATGTGAAGTTACTTACATCAGCTGCTTCTTGCGTTCAGTGAAATCCAGGTGGAAGGATTGCAGAATTTGAATTATCTTGACCAACTAAATAACAGAGCACGTTCAACTGATCATGACAAGGCTATAATATTTAAATCCCAGGTAACATTTGTTTCATATTTTACTACATTAGCTAAAGGAAAAAGAAAAAAACATCAAATTAACTATTTGAAAATAGTTTGACAGAATATACCTAAGCACTCCAGATGACCTCAGAATCGTGGACAAGAAGAAAAAGAAGACAATTGTTGTACACAAGGAGGGACAAGTTGATGCTGGTAAAGAAAGACTTAGAGATTTTGTAAACATGAATGTGTGTTTAGTTTAGTAATGACTGATCATTAATAAAAATGTAATAATAATGATATGCAGTGGTGTGGAATCCATGGGAGAAGAAAGTGAATGACTTGGGAACTGAAGACTACAGGCGTTTTGTAACTGTGGAAAGCGCAGCGGTCGAGAAACCGATCATAGTGAATCCAGGACAAGAGTGGAAAGGAGTACTCCAAATGAGTGTGGTTCCTTCCACTTGATCATGCACTCCTCATCCCCATACTTAAATATATATGTAAAAGTTTATGTTCCCAAAAAACATTACAAAGGAGATAGTCAGGATCCAAACCAGACATGATCAGTCATTGGTTTTGTAATTGTAGAATCCTGTAATAAAACTCTAAAAAAATATTAAAGTATTTTAAACTTTTAATGGGAACAATAATACTTTGTTATTCTATTTGTGGAATCCCCTATATATTAATTGAGAAACATTTGAAAAGATGTAACCTCAAGTTTGTATTAATTAAAAAGTAACCTTGCTTAGTTGTCAATCAATTAGTATATCAATTAACTGACGTGGCGGCTTTAGGTTCAATTGAAATTTGCTAGGGAAAAATAATTAGAGACGCATATAACGCATGTAACATAGTTTATATATTTATATATATCGCACACATGTAATGGAAGAAAAGGAAAATATACGATTTGATAACGATTTGCATATATTAACTATAATAACTTCATTCCTTTTAATTTATG